GTTAAGAGTATATTTTACAGTCATGTAATATTAATTAAATAAATTATGTAAGATTATTACATTTATTGTATCTTTGAACTGAAAATATTTAATTTTTTTTCACAGGCAATAATTATAATTGTTGCAAAAATTTAAGTATATTATAGGTGCTCCATCTAAGCGGACAAATTGATATAATATGTCAAGAATTCAGAAATATTTCTAAGAATACGCTTGTTCATAGATCTTCCATACATTCGTTTGGAACGCTTATTGAGAGGCATAACAGAATTCTTTCATTTTCTGAGAACATGGAAAAATTTTTCTCCTTGTTCTCGTTATTGCAAGTTTTTTGGAATACAGCAGTTGTTTGCTGTCTTGGATTTGTCTTGATAATTGTAAGTACTGTAATAAATATTGAATGGTTGTCATATATTGCATTCATTTCTATTTTTATTGTTTGTTGGACCAGTCTATTCACAATGAAACTGGTGTTTTCGTGTTAGTGAAAACCATGTCTGGTTACTTTTCTATGATATTGGAAGTCTTTATTATTTGCTTGGCCGGAGAATATCTCAGCTCCAAAGTAAGTATTTAAAATATTTTAAATGATTAGTCAAAGTACAATTTTTTAATACAATTACGCTGTTTTAGTGATAGAAATGTATGACATTGTGTTTTAGTAAAAATATATTAATATGTTGCAATGTTTATGTGCAATGTAAAATATTATTTGAGCTAATCAATTTTAAGCAAATTATAACGTTTCTTATTTTTAAAGATGATTTATTTTACAAACATATGAATATTTTCAAAAGTATTGCACCATATATGTTATAATAAAACATATTTAAAAATTATAAAATATTTACCAATTAATAATTTATTATACGTATGATACTTTTTATACTTTTTGAATGAGAATAGAAATAAAAATATTTTTAAAATTTAGGCAATAATACTGGAAAAATCTTTTTCTGTTAAATAAGTTAATCGGATAAAAATAAATAAATAAATAAATAAATAAATAAATAAAATATATATATGGGTGTGTGTATGTGTGTGTGTGTGTGTGTACCCTCATATAAAGAGAGCCGTTATATTTGACAGAATTTGCATCAACTTTTAGGGCAAATTAATTACTACAGCAACATACGAAATGCCATGGTATAATATGCCGTCAAATCAGAGTAAAATTTTAATGTTCATAATGATGAGATCACAAAAGCGACTGGTAATCACGGCAGGGAAAATGATGGATATGTCATTCGAATCTTTTACGACTGTAATTTTTGAAAAATTTTAATTATTTTTTATTAAAAGACAAATTTATTTTACATAACTTTAGATCCGTTGCGATAAGTGTTTTTTATAAGCAAATATATTTTCTAGATCTAACTTATATAGTAGTTTACTTGTGTTTTTTAGATTATAAAAGCTTCAGCATCATATATATCCGTTTTGTATGCTATTTATTGACATCAACAAAAACGTGCAGTATCTATTTTCTGAAATTATCGTAGTAGTTAATATTTTTATAATTAGAAAAAAGTATATGCTAAATATATAAGAAATATTTAATAGTATATGTATCATTAAATAAAAACTTAACACCTTAAAAATAGATTTCAATTTAATTAGTCACGTTAATTAAATTGTTATTGTTAAGAATTATTAATTGAGTTAAGAACACAATTTTTAATTACATTTTTTATAAAATGTATTTATATGCAAATAATCTGTTATTTCTTGTGTGTAATTATTATTATTATACTTTATATTTTTATAAGAGATATGTAGCTGCAAACTGCATTGGGCGTCTTGGCCACTGATTTTTTACTAAAAAATCGCATATTTTTTAGATGTTATAAACCAATTGCAGAGCCGTATTAGCATGTTAAGATGTTACTTAAGAAGATCTTAAATATAGATCCGACTATATGAATATCGCTCTGTGTAAAACATATGACGTATTAAAATAACGTATTGCAGAGTTTTTCATACACCGAGAAAGTTGAATCAATTAAATCTTTTGGTTGGAAAATTTTTTGTTATGTTGACCAAATTTTTTATTCACATAACAAACATTTTTAACATTTTTACGAAGTGACAAATTAATTTTATTTACAATAATCTAATTTTGATATCTGATACGATATATGTTCTTTATAAATATAATTCGTGAACCAACTTAATTTCCCAACTCTTATTTTTTAAATCATAAAGGTGTTAGCATCATATGTATTCGTACTATATGCTGTATATGAATTGAAAAACACAGCTGCCTCTATGAGGAAGCAAAAGTAAAAGCACGGTATATATTATACAACGAAAACTACGATATTGTATATTTGTTAAAATAATAACATAATTATTATAAAGCAATAAATTAATATACATTAAAAATAAAGTAGAATTAAACTTATTAATAATTTAATATAAACTTACTAATAAATTAATAAATGTTATTTATTTACAGTTCATAAATTAAATTGCATTTAATAAAATTGTAAATAATTTTTATGCAACACGTGCATGGAAAGTGGCCCATTACGCACGCTACGCGTGCGTGATAGACCACTTTCCACGCACTTGCAACATAAAATAGGGTGTGTAAGCCGTACGTACGTAAACTCCGCACCCGGGAATTTTCATCTTACGGCACTTGTTACACAAATAACTATTTCTTATATGTTATTACTAGAGTAATGTGTAATAATTTTTTAGTTAGAAACTATGTAGTTATTTATTGCGTTTAAGTATTATTTTTTTATTAAAGTTTATAAACACTTAGTTTTTTAAGTACATTTGTAACTAAACATTTATAATATCCTCAATTTTTTTTGCAATTTTATTATTTCTGAACTTTATTACATAAACAAGTTTTGCACTATGATACTTTCTGTATTGAAGAAAATTATTCTTCATTACATGATTTTTTTTTGCTTTAGTCGGTTGTTTTGTTTTCCCATTATCTTATATCTTTAAAGACCAGAAGTTGAACTGTACGAATATAATTGTATTCCATTTAATTAGAATATTTAATGTATAATCACTATCGTTTTGTCGAGCATTTCATAATTTTCACAATTGGTAAGATACACGGTAGATATGTTTATGTAATTACGTTGAGACAAGAGACAAATGCAAGAAAAAAAATTCTTTTTTTTTTTAAAGTGCCGTGTAGCAAGCTATTTTTCCTGTTACGTTAGTAAATTATCACCATTAGTTCTCGGTCGAAGTATACATTGTATCAGACTATTCATGGAATTACAGTACATTCAAAGAATGAGTCTCTTCTGTCTTAACTTATCACGTTATAGTACGTACAATATTTTAATTTCAAACTTTTTACCGGAACATATTTCATAATCAAGTCTTGCACAGTAACATTTCCTAAATCATTAAAAGTAATTACACGTTATTACTCGGTACAGTCAGAGTTTTACTAGTCTTCCTTCACTGTATTTTTTTTAAAGACTAGGGGGTCAAACTACGATATAATTCGATTCCTTTAGAATACCTAATGGGTAATTACTATCGCTTTGCCGCGCGTCTAATAATTTTCACGATTGGTAGGAAGCGCGGTATGGACAATTGTTTTCATTTTTTCGAAGAAATTATACTTCTAGGGACAAGGTTGTAAAAAAAGTAGCTAAAGCAATAGATAGCTGTTCTTTTTTTCTACAATATCTATGCAATGTCTCTGCTGAAATTATGATGATTGAAAATTATGATGCCTTTCTGACATAGACTGTTAATAAAATTTTAAAATGTTCATACAATTAATGAGTTCTGTCTGGACTTCTCTGTCTCGTTGTACTACGCGGCATATAATAGCGATTGATCCGTGTTCACCTCAGTGGGGATGCACCTTGTGGGGATACACTTGGAGAAACGGACAGTGCGCTCTCATTTCCTTTTCAACTTGAGTACCGATCACATGTGCTGAAACTAATTATTATTTTTATAAAGTATCAAAAATTATTGTCGAATGACTATCACAAGTACTATTAGTCCAGTCGTGATAATTTGTCTTCGATTCTTCGGCCTTTGGCCGGGTGTATCATATTCCATTATTAAATGGCTAAGTTTTGTGTTGATCATGCTGGTTATACAGTACTTTCAATATTTATACATATTTGATCACCTGGAGATCAACGAGTTGTCAAATATTGTTGACGGTTCGGTTCTGACTTTATATTACAGTTTGACAATTTTTAAA